TCCACTTAATTTCCCCAACATCCCCACTCAATTAGTTACATGCAGTGTTGCCAATTCAGCCATTGATTAGAAATATGAATTGAAACAAACATTAATATGTACTTTAAAAGCATATACAGTAAATGATAAAATACTTGTACCTGAAAAAGCATGTGAAAATATTTGTATGAACAAAGTCTAGCTTCTCCACACAGCTTTTTTTTTTCTTTTTTGCAACATTGTCAGTGCATCTGTTTCCGTGATGTTGTCCAATCTAATAATTTCAAATTATCAGTTGTAAGCAAGGTATGAATGAGCTCTCCCCTCATAGCTAGTGATGAGCCATAGAGGGAAGGGTGATAGCTTCAGGAACAGACCGTATGTACATGAACATATGCAGGGCTTGACAAACCCTGGTGAGAGCCATTTGCCAGCCCACAATGAGCATGCACAAAGTGCCGGTGAATGGGGCACTTAGAATGACCGGCTGAAATCTACTCGCCACGGGCGAGTAGATTCAGCAGTTTGTCAAGCCCTGAACATACGTATTCTGCCTAGGTATCCAGTAGACAGCGCTGTATTGCCCAAGTGATTAATTTTGGCTGGTCCTAGGTTACAAATAATTTATGGCCTTGTCTACACTGATGTGTTTGGTTGCCAAAAAACAGATTTTGGCGCCAAAAACCTCTGAACATTCATATTACAACAGCATATGGCCATTTTTGGCAACAAAAATCTTCCAGTCCCACAAAAGACTTTTGTCTCTTCCCTTCAATTTACTGTAGATGATCCCACAGTGTGTACTACAATAGGGTTTTTTTTGTGAACTTACTGAACTCCAGTATGCATCCTGCAATGCCTGATTTAGCCACTATGGCCATCACCTTGAATTATGATGCCTTTCAGCCAAGCAATGTCTCAGAAAAAACAGAAGATATATATATATATATATAGGCCCTGAAGTTCAAATTAGGAATGGAAAATCCTGTTTAATTAGTTAACTGGTTAACTGATTAATTGGGGCAGATGGGGAGAGGTAATACAGTCCACGTCAGCACAGGGCCTATGCTGTTTGGGCTGGAGCACCTCTACCTGCAGTGAGCCAGGGCTGGACCTGCTGTGGTCAAGGGCTGCTCCAGCACCCCCGACTCTCAACAGGTCCCATGGGGCTGGAGCAACTGTTATTCTACTCAACCTCTATATAACTTTCATAGATGTCTTGCCTTATAAAACACCAATAATTGAGTAGAATGAAGCACTAACAGCAGTAAGGCTGCTATATGATCAGGTCAGAATAGAGTGGAATATATTATGAACAAAGGAAGGTCTGAATTCAACTTTTTCTTTAGTATCAGTAGTGGTTTACCCAATGTTTGTGCTAGGGATGTGAAAGCGTAACCATGTAAATGGTTAACTGATGAGCCAGAGCTAATTGGTAAACATTCATGGTTACACGCAGGCTCCTGGTATGTGCAGGGAGCCTCATAAAAGCCAGGTCCCAGCATGCACTGGCTTCTAGGGAGCCATCTGCTGCCCTGCACAAGCTGGTATACATGGGAAGCAGGCTTAAAAGCCGATTTCCCATGCACATAGGCTCCGGGGGCAGACCCCTGCTGCCCTGCATGTAATCGCTTGACATTTTCAGTGGTTACGCAATTACTTAATTGCAGCCATTTTAACATCCCTAGTGTGTGCTGTTTCCTGGGATAAAGGCAGTAGGAATTCAGCTCCTGTTACTCCCAGTCAAATAAGCTACAGCTGAGCATTTTTCTCATTTTAAAACATGATTTAAATCTAAAAGAAGGTTGCAAAACACTTTTCTGGTTTTAGGATGGTGCCCTACAATCCGCCTCCCCCTTCGTCCTTACAGCCTCGCCTACTGTATATTGGGCACCCGCTCGCTCCCCCTTTCAATTTCAGGTGGCAAACACCCCTGGAGAGGCAGAGGTAGGAGGCTACTAGAAGTTCTGAAGAGACATGGGCTGTGTAGCCAGGGAGACAAAGCTGGGCAGGAGCCTGCAGACGTAGGACTTCAATCCACTGGGTAGTAAATGGGTCCGTGATGTTCCTCCTCTAGGCCTCGGGGAGGCAGCTCCGAGCCTGCGCCCAGCCCCGCAGATAAGTTTCCAGCTCAGGCACAAGCCAGCTGCACCCCCCAGCTCTC